GCCTTTAAAGTTCAACTAAGAATCGTTCTAAATATGAGAGAATCGATTCTTGCAGCGATTCTCAAGAAGTGATTCTCGCGCAATGATTCACGAGGAACGTTTTTGCCATTGAAAAACCACAACAGAATCGTTCCTTGAGAATCCTTGTGCGAGACGAGAATCATTTCTCAAGAAACATTTTTGCGGAAAACATTTCTCGAGAATCTTTTTTCAAGAATCGTTTCTCTGATATTCGGACCCACCCAATTTAGATCATCTAATTTAAATTGATAAGTTTTGATAATTTTTAAAGAGCTGAGTATAAATTTGTCCAATTTGCATCCAGGAGAGTTTCTTGATTATATTCGGCCGAGACTGGGCGCATCAGCAGATCTCTGGCTGGCTCTTTTGCTCTTTCTCTGGCGCGTGCAGGCAGAAAGACCAATAAAAATAAATTCCGCAGGCATATTAGAGTTTTGTTCTTTGTTGTGCTGTGTGTGTGTGATATTGAGCGGCGCGCGCGAGCTGCAAAATGAGGCTGCCGGCGTGCCGGTTATTATGTGTTCTTGCTCGTCCATTATCTCTTAATCTCTCTCTCTCCTTGCGCCGCCCCCTCCCGGCCCCCGTCGGCCCCCGCCCGGCGACTGATTCCACACGTCCTCACTTAAGCACCGCATAAACTAACTCTTAATGTTATTAGACATACGTTCCCCCTGCATCTCTTTTATGTTCTTTAGCCGGCCTGCGCTGCGCTGACCAGCCGCTCGCTTTTAATTTGCACCCTGCGCGCTCTTTCGCCGGGCAGATTGTTGTCAGTCTTGTACCAGGGCAGATCAACACCTCTCACAATCAGCCGAGGCAGTTACGGACCAGAAATTACTGCCCGCGTTCCGTAAAAGCACAACCGGCGCTCTTGTTTTCATCTAATTACAAAAATACTTTAAATTTTTCAACCAACTTCTACATTTTTTGTTTTACCAGCACAGTCAAGTAAAATTTATATCTTTTTATTCTATAATTATTTTGAAAAACTTCTTAATATTACTTAAAACCCAATTATATCTATCAGTAATTTTGCTCTGAAATTTACAAAAAAGATTGAAAAACTTTATCAGTTTTTGAAGTCTGTTGAAGCCAGTTTCAAAATTGTGTTGAAGACCTGAAGGCCTCTTTGTAAATTTAATAATTTCCAAATTTCGAGTTCGAATAAATTCATTTCCTTTTCATCTTTGCACTCGCTTCTCTTGAAACAATGCGGGCAGTTGATTATTTCAGGTAATTCCTCTCTTGCGAACGCTAGACCCTTTTCTCCCTCGGGCGACACTTTGAATCCCCCCGCTCTTTGTGTTTGATTTAAGGTGTTGATATTAAAATAAAAGCGAGTGACCGCCGCAGAGAGAGAAGAGCCCTTTCGCAACTAATGCTTCTTAATCTGTATGGACAAAAATTATTACACACGCACGCACCGGCAGTTAGTTTATTTAAATATTATTGCGCGGCCAAAGAGCTGACAAAAGGAGAGAAAGGACTGCCGACGGGCTTTGCGAGATATAAATGACCTGCGAGGCCGGAAAATCCCTTCTTTTCCATTGCCCAAGCAGGCTTTGAGCCCCGAATGACCCGAGAGGACCAATGGGAATTCAAATGGCTTTGATTTTAGCTCAAATGAAATTGAACTCGGTAATTATAAAAACCAAAGAAAAATTCAGAGTTTCGTATTGATTGAAAGTTCTTTTTTGAATTTTCCCGCAAAAATTTAAATAAATTTCCTTAAATGATATAACTAATTTTTTAAATAAATTTGAAGAGTTATATGTTATGTTAGTTGCTTCTAAAAATTAATTTCATGTTTTACTCTTAAAACTGCTTTAGTGTTTCGATTTAATTATGCTTTTATTTAATTTTTTTTTCTCTTTCTGAATTTTGCTGGAAGCCAATTTATTTCCAAAAATTTAGATTTCATGCGACTGCAAACAAACTTGAGCCTTTGCCCGAAACACGCATCCAGAGAGTGGCATTATTTGCCACAAGCCCATTTCTTGGAATGACACAAGTCGTACCGGGAATTATCAGACCGACGCTGCGCTAATACCTTGATCAAAAATTCCGTTTGATTTGAGCTCGCTCGCGCACACCTTTGTGTTCCAAACACATGCAGAACAGGGAAGGACCCGAGCTCACACTTGAGGGGCCCGCCGCGCAATGACGCCCAACTAAGCGCCGGCTTAACCCTTTGTTCGCCTCTCGTGCACTTTCAATACTTGATCCCACCGTAACACCGTCGAATAATGTGCCAACTCCTCACTCAGCACCTTTACGTGTGAGCACAAAAGATTTTGCTTCACGAAATTATTCATTTAAAAACGGTAAAATTGGATTTAATTTTAAGTAAACGAAAATTATTGCGTTTTAGTATGTTTCTCTTCAATCCATAATTATATACATAATTTCTGCAAAAATTTTCAAAATTGTACTTGAAGTATAAAAACAATTTATAGAGATTATCAAAGTGTTCTGCCGGAATTTTGAAAAAATTAATGTTAAAAATCATGAATTGATAAATCAAAACTTAATTTGAAACAGAATACATTTTTTACTCATTTTTCAATCTGAGAATTTGAGTACCTACTTATCATTGTTGTTTAATTGTCAAATTTTAAAATATAGTTTGCTTTCAATTTTTGAAAACAATTTGTTTGAGAAAAAGGAATTGTTAGACAAAATGGCACCATCACTAGCAATAATTTTGCTAAAACATTTCCATATAACATAAAATTTTAAATTAAACAATTTGGAGAAATAAACAACAATAAAAATACTTATTTGTAATTTCTGAAATTAAATTAATGGAATTCTTGTTTAAAATTCCTCAGTTTTATGAAGTTATTTTTTAATTTTTTTTTTGTATTTCTTAATGAATTTTTTCCTTCAAAAACAGGACTTTGCAGGATAATTGTTAACATAGTCGGTGGCGAATTCGCAATTGCGCCCGCAGCTTGAAATTCGCCGTGGGACTTGGCGCGCGCAATAAGAAGGAATGGCTCGAAAGCAATTGCGCGCAGCTCGCCTATGATAACAAAAAGACGGCAGCGCCTCTCTCCGGGGACGAATCATTGTCCGAAATAATTTGGCAGGCAATAAATTATTTCATTTTGTTATCGGAGCCAGGGCGGAGGAGAGATAAAGCTTTATCGCAAGCAAAGCCTTCGCCCGGTGCAAATTTATCGGAAGAGTTTCGGTATTGATCTCATAAGAGAGGTGGCAATGATATTATTTGTCGCGTGTGTGTCTATTCGCTTAAGATGCCGCCGGCCTACAAACTGTCTCATCTGCGGCAAAAGAAAAGAAAGCGAGTTTGTCACGTTCCGCTCTAACAACTTAACGCATATTGTGTCGAATATTAGCCGAAAATAAAAGAAGGGAAGATAGAAAAGGGAGAAAATTATGGGACAATTCTCCTGAAGCTGATAATTAAAAAGCAAGGAAGGCGAGATAAGTTGGAATAGTTAATGAAATTTACTTGATTCTATTGATTCTCAGTCTCAAATTTCCAAAATTAAAATTTGATATCTTTGTAGACTGATAAAAAAATCCTTTTGGATTTCGATCAGTTAAATTTATGGATTATTTTAAGACTTTTTTAACACCCTTTTTAAACACTTTATTCTCCAGATTTGTGCAGTTGTTTGTTTCAAATTAATTTTTTTTTTTAAAATCCCCAAATCCATTTTTGTTTTAGTCTTCCTAGAAAATAGATGAATTACAATTTTTATAAATAAATTAAATGATAAATTTAAAATAATAAAGCATTGTTTTTTGACAAATCTAGGTAGAATATTTTTATTCAGATGTGAATATTCTTATCGATGACAATTGTAAATCGTTCCAAGCCAGCGGAGAAAACATTTCGAGCAGTTTCTTTTTGAATATTAAAATTTTGAGATTCCCTTTCGCTGCTAACACTGGACGTGATTTACACAAAAGTGTCCAAAACTGGTCCTTCCCGCTTCCCCGGAACCACACGACCGCGGGGGCTTGATTTAATAAGATAAGGCCTTATTAAAAAGGCAAACATAAAAAGTTGGGCGGGCGCGCGTATCAGCGCCATTGTGCGTGGCAGCTACTCCTGCTGGCCGCATGATATAATGCAATAAATTGCTGGATCTTAGCGTAATTGGGTTTTAAATTTGGCGGCGCTCATTTGCATTTCCCATTATCTGGCGGGCCGTGTTTTGTCAGCGCCAAATTAACACCGACTCGATTACTTTTAATGAGCGCCGCCGCCGGGCGCTGCTCTTTTCCTCGGCGTGACGACTCGCGTGTCTAGCCGGGGGTTGAAAGCAGCAACCCCTGCTGCATCCAACACACCCCTTAATTGCACACGTGCATCAGCCGGTGCATATTAGCAGAAAGGGTTGCGGTTCCGCTTGTCAAAATTTTATCGCCCGTAATATTTCGCGGCAATTTGTGCGCCACCGCACGCCTGCTGTGCTTCTTGTCGCACTTTATGACGCGCCCATTCAATTGGATTAGGTGACACACACACTCATTTTGCTAAACGACCGCGATAAAGTGCTGTGACGGCCCAAAATTCTACTAATTTTAATGGGCGACATTTTTTTGTTTAAATTGAAATTATTGCAGCCTGGTTTAGTGACCTCTTTATGCAATAAAATTTTTGAGGTCAGAATAAGAAAATAAAATAAACCAATGCAAACTGGTACAATTTTTTGCTTACCTTTTTACAATTTTTTTAAGTAAAAATGTTAATCTTTTAGTAAATAAACGTAAACAGGAAGGGCTTTTGCGAATAAAAACGGCCCGATTAATTTTCCATTTCATTTTTCCTGCAGTACAATAAGTTTTAAGCTATTTGGAGGATTTAAGAAATCCTATTGTTGACATTTTTAAATAGAAAATTTCACACATAATAAGTGGAAAAAAAATCCAATCTCTCTCAAAATTACCGTATTATTTATTTACTTCCAAAACCACCAAATGAAAAACGATTTATGCTCGCCTTGCAATTCAATTGCTTTCGCAAAGTATTTTGTAGGTTGAAGGAGTTTGGTACAGGAAAAATATACCGGTACTAGTTTTTATGTTGACAAAGAATCCTGATGCTTTAGGATTAGATGGTCTTACTGATGTTTCGTTCAACAACATCTGTCTTGTTGGACAAATCACTGCCGTATTGTTCACCGCAGGGGCAATGTAGTAAGCAGCGATCATGTAACCTTCCTCACCCAACGGGAATTCCACTGGAAAGTAAATAACAATCACGTTGAATTGCGTTTTTAGATAATTATTCAATGGAAAAACTCACTGACATAAGGTTGACTCTGCAGACAATTTTGTTTTGTAAAATCTTCCAGAATTAACAGACGTAGTCCAAATTTGCAGCAAATTTCAAAAGCTTCATGAAACCTGGATCCATTCTAATTCAATTCATATTTCTAAATTAGCAATTAATAATTTTCAAGTGATTTATTACAATTGTCAACGCGGTAGGCATGATCAAGCCTAGAATCCTTTTGCCACATGCTTTTCCTACCTTACCAGTGCCGTAGAATGAATTAAATGATGAATTATCTATTTTGAAAATTTAATTTTTAGGTTAATATTTAATACGACTTCAATTTTGGGTTATATTTAATAAAATGTTGGCAGTTAATTTCAAAGAGCGCGCTTTGGTCAAAACGGCCAAAAACAACAAATACATACTTGGCTTGCTATCAAAAGTCGCTCTCAAATCAGGCTTAAAACGAAAAAATATTAATAATTATTATGCAAATAAACAATTTAAGTCTATGATTTAATACATCTACAACGCATTTGTGACTAGGGCAGGTTGATGTCTGGTTTGGTGACATGACTACAGCCTCGTCAGCGTAGGCACCCTTGAAAGAAATACTAAATTCAGCTTTAAAATTTACTGTTTCTATCTCACTTTAATTGTATTTTCGAGATTGACCACCAGGCTAGACATGAGTTCTGGTGAATTGTCTTGTCCGCATTTCATCAGAGCCGCAGCTCTGTCGCAATCATCCATTCCCTCTGAAAGAATACGTAAGGAAGGAATAAACAATTATATCAAATTGTTGGTCACTTGTCACATTGGTGCAATATTCAAAGGTGCTGTATGATTCGGTGAGTTTGTCCAGGTCGCCTTTTGACAGAGATTGAAACTCGGCTAGTATTTTTTCTTGAACCAACTTTCCATCCTTCATCTGGAATGTATATTGCCAATAAAAACTGGGCAGATTAAGAAAATGAAAAATACAAATCCCGTTTCCTCTCCAAAACATTTTAAAAAACATCTCTCTTTGAGAGTTTTTGAAGATTCGTTAATAAGCTTTGATATTTCTTCTAAACGTTTGGAATTTTTAAAAGTTTTAAATTTTTTTATTATAAAATATATAATACTAGCTGTCAATGAGTACAGGTCAGCGCACTCCTTCTGGATCGTTTGGACGCTCCTCGGTGACTTCCCCTAATTTATTATTTTGTTACAACTGCTTTTGATGGTTGTAATAAATTGTACTTCGCATATGTAGCGCATTTTATTCATGCAATTCTCATCACTCAGTTGAGTCCCTGTGGCATCGACATTGATTGCCAGGCAATTTTGGCTATTGTTGACATTATCTGGCTGTCCGACGGCCCATCTATTAAAAAATATGAATATTAGTCTCATCATAAATTTAAGATTTCAGCAGACGTACCTTGCTTCCTTTCTAAGAAGTCTGTTTGACGAGCAATACCCAAAGTTTCCCTCGCAACCTGCATCAGTACCGGATGTCCAAAACTGTGCTGGAGATATCTTCCCAGCTATTTTGAAAGTATTTTAAAATTTTCGGAAGCAAAAAAATAATAAATTAAAACATATGGAGGCATTTCTTAATTGATCGAAAGTGAAATCTTGATGCAAACTGATGAGCTTCAGCCCGATTGAGCAACATGCTTCCAATGATTTTTCGTACTATGAAAATAAAAAAATTTTACAAAATATTTTATTTTTCATGATCAGCCAATTAAATCACTGTTCGAGTGTCATTTGCGTAACTGAAGAGGAAATATCTTCCCGCCGCTGAAACCCACTGCCCGTGCATCGAAGGTTCTACCATTTTATTTAAAATTAAAAGACTTCTCGTTACTTTTTATTTTTTGTTAAAACTTGTCAAATATTTGATCATTTGAGGTCCGTCTTTGAATGTGAAGTAAGCACTCTGTGATTTTTTTGATCAGTTAATAATAGTTCATAAAGAAGTTTGAATTTTCAAAACGTTAAAAGTGCAGTTAATGTTTGGGCATTGAGGCGCATTGCAGGCTGGCTTTGGTGTTGTCGGCCCCTATTTGAGAAACAATTTTTCAATTTTAATGTAAGTACACAATTTTTTGCCACCACCATGCAGGCGAAAGGACTGATTTCTCCGCAGTGCTTGTCAGCCAACTGGGCAGTGTTGTATGCTGGCGATATTATGAGTTGGGCACAATTTTCCGATTTGTTAACATTGTTGGGTTGCCCGGAGGCCCAAAAAGACAATGCTACGCTCGCGTTGGTTTGGCAAAATGTAAATTTTGAAGAACTGATGCGCAAACCCGATGTCCAATACCGTGTGTTGTATGGCCACTTGAATCCTTTATTGTTATTAATATTTAATTTTATTTGATTGTGACGCAAAACGTAAGAATTTGTAGGCATTATTAAACCGTTAAAAGATAATAAATTTAATTTTTTACCATCGATCATATTATTGAAGCACTTGAATTTATCCGCCGTCTGGAAGTAAATTGGTCTCATTCCAAGACTGCAGCATTTGTCAAAGTTCTGCTGCCAGTTTGCCTTAATTATAATTTCGATTTAAATTCATTTTATTTCAGATAAAGATGATTTCGCAATACCAAGCTCTTTCCAAAAACGTACAGATCTCCACAAGCAGTTTTCCAAAAGCCGTGGTCAGATGGATCTTTCGGAAATCATTAATGCAAAATCAAACTTATTTAACAAATAAAATCACAGAAATTAGAATAATATCAAGTATAAGTCTCAACATAATATTTGATATCTTTCAGTCTATTAAACGTACCTCTTAGTGACTTGTCCAGATCAAACAGCGATTCCTTCAATTATTTCATATAAAATTTTCAAGTTGGAAAATCAATTAATAGCCTCACATCGCGTTTGCATGTTGATGGGCATTTTGGGTACACCTTTTTTTAATGAATATTTTAAATATTAGAATAAATTCATTTTAATTCATTATAATAATTTTTTTCAAACTATTGATAAAACATTCTTATAAATTTTAATGATATCAAGTCCACTCATAACTCAAATACTGCCTTTCATAATTCTGCATACATGAATAAAGTTGCGTGAAATTCTGAAATCACCTCTGGCGCTATTGTTGATGCTTGAGTCGGTTTTACGTAAACGATTGCTGGCATTCCCCTTTCACTGGTTGTTTCGGTTTTCATTCCATTTATGGTCGGTAAATTTTGCGTTGAGGTTTGCATTTGAATACTTTCTTGAGCAGTGCTCGGTTGCAAAAATTCAACTGCAGTTGTCGAATCTGGAGACGAAGATGAGGCTGGAGTTTCATTCTGAACCGGAGTAGTGATTTCTAGGGGTGTATTTTGTTCACTCGGAGCAGCCTGTGGATTCAAATTACTGATTTTTACTTAATAAATTTATTTTTTCTTGCATTCATGTCATTGCTGATTGGCGTGGTTTCCTCTGGTTGAACAGGTGCATCGATGGTATCGGAGAATTGCGTGTCAACTATGGTTTGGGCATGATTTGTTGCTTGATTGTTTGTCACTCTCGATGTCGGCGTGAAGGCGGAAGTGGTAGAATCATTAATTACTGTCGTTTTTAAAATGGCATCCGATCTAGTGCACGACTGTGCTCCACAACAACGAATAATTTTCTGTCTGGCCGCACTGAGATTGCTCTTAACTGACAGATTTTTTTTTTTTTATATTGTATTATTAATTTTTATCTTTTGGAAGAAAATAAAAGCATATATTGTACCTTTTCCTCGCCCGGCATTACGTTTTTGAGCCTGAATATTTTCCAATTATAATCACTCAAAACAATTAAATTATTTACTGTTGTTTTTTTTTAATTAGAAAAAAAACATACGAGACCAATTCCTATCAATATGGTGTAGAAAGCCAGAATGGTTATACAATGTGAATATTTCATTCTTGTAGATCAATTATATATCATAGCACAATGCTCAATGGCCAGGTAACAACTGGTAGTGCGCTTGCCACATCGGAGCTTTTAATTTTTGTGTAGGAAACTGAATGTCATGTACATGTTAGTCGTCATTTTCACAGTTTTTTGCAAAAAAATTCCGTCTGCGTCGGGAAATCCATTTGATTTTTTTTACGGAGGATGACAGCATTTATTTTAAATATATGTATGAATATATAATAAGACATCATACGCTAAAATGATAAATATTTGGCTATAACAAAATTTGCATTTTTAATCACTCCAAAGTCTACAATTTGTAATTTCTGCTAATAGCTTTCAAATTGAAATTATAAGTATCCATATTTATAATTACTCTACTTGGAATAATAATATTATTCAAATTCATTATGACCGTCTTGTGATTTAAATTCCGGTTTTTGAGTCGCGTCTCTGCAAATTAAATACGGCCAGCTCGCTTTTAATTACCAATTTCCTAAAACAAACGGACGAGAGTGGCGCGCTCGTCTCAAGCTCACCCTCTTTCTTTTCCAGCACTCGTCAAGTCCGCTTGACAATTTTAATTAATTCTGTCTCGCTCGTACTGCTGCTGCTGCTGTGAGTGAGAAAGATAAATTTTCCAATTTGATGTCAATCTCGAATCAATTAAAAAAGTTAGCTAATAAGTGCGCCGAGAAGTGAAAGACAGGCAGGCTCTCTTCTCTTTCCAAACTCTCTTGGCGGTAATTCGTGAAGAAGTGTTTGTTTGTCCCACTCAAAATGCCTGAGGCGATCTCGCTCCCGATACTTAGTAATTATCGTCAAACGTTTGATCTGAAACCCTTTGGAGGTGATTGATCGAATATTGCGTCTCGGTTTATTTCCTTTGAGATTATGAGAAGAAGATTATATTTTGATGTTTTCCAATTTCCTTTTCTTTCCAAGATCGCATCGAATGCCAATAAATTTGTAAATTAGCGTGATTCTGCTATTGAGTGGTGCATCTTAAACGTAATTTTTATATTTACTATTTGAATCGTTAATTTTATCATAAAATTCATAATTTTGATTTATTTTATTCAAATGTTTGAATATTTTCATTGAATTATTATTTTTATTATCTAATCCTTAGTTTTGATACATATTCTTGTTAAATTAACAGAAAAATTAATATTATTTCAATATTAATTAAATTTTATCTACACTGAGAAAAATGTTTACTGAACCGTTTCTCACAAGATAAATATAAATTTTGATATAGAGCTGCCTAGAGCTATTGATTGATTTTATTTTGCCTACTAAATTCAGGTGATATGATTAGGTGAAAATTTCAACAATTTTAAGCCAATTTTAAGGAAAAAAATATTTTCTAGTAAATTTAAAAAAGAAACAATGTTAATTTCAAAAATTCAATTCTTCAAACAAATTCAGTTGTTCTTTTTATCTTTAATTTGAAATTACATCTATAAACCATTGCTAATGTAAAGTAAAAAACCGTCAAAATAATCGGACCGTTTTCAGCAGAACGAAAGTATTTTCTCTTATTTTTGCGTTCGTAATTACCCTTCCTTTCTTTTAACTATCAAACATTGAAGCTTTTGCACGCGCACTTCCTTCCTCTCCTCCTGCTTTTACTTCTTTTTCCCATTGTTTCAGAGCTAATTATGAATTCGGCGGGTGCCGGGCAATAAAAAAGGCGCTGAAAAAAAGTGCGGAATTAGGAGTTGTGAATTATTATGCGCCCACATGACGAGCCGCGCGATTTATGCGCTCGAAAATGCCGCCGGATAATTTTTGCCAAGATATATAAAAGCGGCGGCGGTGGAGAGAGAAAAAGAGACTCGTGAGGGAAAAAGAGTGAAATATTAATTTCCTGTAAAGTTTTATAGCGAGATTACCAGGAAACGCATAAAAGGCACAATTTCTGCAGATTTATGGCGTTTAATGTAAAAACGCATTAACAATTATTTATGTACGAAGAGCAAACCGGCGAAAAGACAAAAGCTGTGCAAAAAGTATAAAAAATATAGTTGTTTTCGGTTTTTATTTTCAATAATTAATATTATACCTTTGAGGACAATGAGAGGAATTAGAAAATGATTCACTCGTCTTTGTCTCTCCGTTAGATTTGGTGCGTGCAGTAATTCCTTAATCCCCTTTCACCAAATCGGAGTGAATTTATGGCAGGGCAAATATGTTTTAATCTGCTGAATAAATACCATAAATTGTTCTTACACGCATTTCTCCAAAGCGTCTCTCTTTCTTCTTCTCTCGGTCTGGCCCGCCGTGTTATTTGCCCTGGCACTTAAATCTCACATAAATTCACTGCTCTTCTCCTCTGGCAATCTGATGATGTTCGGACTGGGTCGATAAATGAGACGCTTCGGGCCATCCCAGTGATACAAAGGAGGAGGAAGCCACGTCAAAGATTACAGATTAATTTAAATTAAATTTCAATATTGTTAGTTGCAAAGTATGCGAAATATCATTCATCAAGTTTACAAAATTTTACAGGCTATTTTTCTTCTGAAACATGAGAAGTGATTTAAAGTGCAAAATGAAATTGTTTTTTAATATTTCGAAGTTTATTTTCAGCTTTCATTGGATGAAAATTTTGTTCAGATTTCCTTTTCTTGATAGAAAGCACAATTTATATTTTAACCAATCAAATGTGGACAATTTCAAAATAGGTGAAAAGTTGGTTGCTATTTTCCTGCTATTTTCATTAAATTCGTTTCAATTGTTTGGAAACAGGTGCGTTTTACATCTAATTTGTGATTTTGGGTGATAATCAAACCTCAATTTTAACTTGTAAATATATTATTTGGTTACCATTGTACGTATTTGTTCATATTTTCAACAAATATGTTAAAAATAAACCCCGTTACCTATCTATATAGTTATTTTCAATTCAGAATTGTTCTCATATCATAAGTTTGAATCTGAAAAGAAAATTAAGCAGATTATTTTATAATTTTATAAATATTATATTAGCAAAATTTATTTATTTACTCTCCAATCAAATACTATAAAACACATCATCCTGCATAAAATGTAATTAAAAAAACGATAGGTTAATTTTAAGAAATTTTCATTTTTTTTTTTTTTTTTTTTTTTTTTTTTTTTTTTTTTTAGAAATAGTTCTTTGATAATTTTGCTGGATTGATACAAATTTATATAAATATAAACATCAAATTCCTTCAATTAAATTCTTTTAGCGTGTTCTAAGTATAATTTAAAAATTAATTAACTCTCCACTTGCATTTGCACATTTGAAGGACGATTGTGGGCGTTCATCAATAAATAATCCAACCGTGTCCGATTGTGATGCCATCAAAATAAAAAGCGGTCGTGCTAGGTGAGAGGGAGAGAGAGAGCCGGCGAGAGTTGATTATGATGGCAAACGCCGGACAATTATCACGCCGTATTATGCAGAATGGCAGCGCAGAATTCAGAGATGATGAGCTCGGATGGGCGCCATTATGCGATGCAGCAATCATCATAAAGTCCAATTAATCAATAATTAACTCCGTCGCCGGGCATCGATTCGCCATATCCATAACCATGATTCACAGTTATTGGCCAGCTTAGCATATTATAACTGCTGCGTGTGTTGTTCGGGCCAGACCGGCGCGCATATGCTCGAGTGACAATGTGGCCAGGGGGTGGCGACAGACTGATTTTCACCTTAAATTTTTTACAGAAATTTTGCTCGAAATTTACTACACAAATTTTAATAATTTCTATAATGATTTAATTAAATAAACTATTTAAAAATTGTAATATTTCTAAAAATTGCTTCAAAAAATCTTGAAGATTTTTTGTTAATATCAAAATTTGTCCCGTTGTTTGGGGAAAAACGCTTAAACTTTAGACTTTTTTGCTCACAAGATCCTTAATTCAAATATTATGGATTAAAATAAGAAATTGAATGTGAAAAAAATCAAATCTTCATCTAAAACGAATTCAAAATATCCTTAATATTATTGAGCTCTAGTTTCAAAATTCATTAATTGACTCGCTATAAAACTTTACTCCCCAAAAATTTCACGATTTCGAGCGTTTTTTTTTTTAAGTAAAGAAGTAAAGAATACAATTTTTAGTTAAAACAGTGACTTTTTACCAATGTTACTCTTTAAATTTAATTCAATTCAATTAATAATAAAACGTTACATATAAATAAATTAATTTATTTATTAAATCAAAATTAATCTATTCTATTATTTTCTATACGAATTGTATAAATATCTTCACATCGATGAAATTTGTCACTTTTTTAGCTTCTCCTCCCAATTTGATTATCTTTATAAAAAAATCGAGAAAATGGGTTTTCATGAATAAATTTGGAAATTAATATTTTCTTTTTTATTCGATTTCGCCAAAGTTCAGAATTATCAAAACTTCTTGCGGTGGGAATTTGTACAATCGTGCGAGTCGAACATACTCAATTTAATTTGAGCCAAAATGTTCACTGAGAGGTCACCTCGAAGACCTCAAACATTTTGGCGCAGCAGAGCTGGCAATACTTAATAAATTTATCGTCTCTTTCTCTCGAGCGGCATCCTCGGACGGAATTCAATTAAAGGGATGCAGATGGCTGGCGTTTAAAATTTAACTCGCTGCTATGCTCGCTCTGGTGTTGCTCTTTTGTTTGCGATCTTACGCGCTGCAATAATATTTTAAAATAACCACAAACAACAGAGGCGCGCGCAAAAGCCAGAGGCAAACATTTGGACTGTCTTTCGAGTATTAGCGCATGCACCAAAAGGCAGAAACACTTATTTGCAAATGGTGTCACAATTTATTCGCCCCGGCGCGGATAAATATAAACTCCTCTCGGATTCCCCATCCTAGCCAAATAACGCAGCAGCTCCGAATTCGCCCCTCTCTGCGGAGCGCGCATGAAAATTTCACGAAATTAATTTATTTGAATTATTCCCTGCACTGCTGTTTTGATGCATCAGCACGCCGAGAGGCAATAATAAATGTTGCAACAACTCGTTTCTTCCCTCGCAATCGGATACACATCAACATGAGGAATTATTTACAGCAATAATGTTTTGAAACTTGAAAATAT